GGCCACTGCACTCCAGTCTGGGCGACAGAGTGAGACTCCAACAAAAAAAAAAAAAAAAAAGTTCAATAAAATCAGTTAAACTTTGATGTGTGTTTGAAATGTTTTTGATAATAAAATATTGGCAAAAAATGAACTCCAGAAATAAATGGACTTTTTTTTTGAGTTGAGGTCTTGCTCTGTTGCCCAGGCTGGAATGCAATGGCACAATCACGGCTCACCACAGCTTCAACCTCCTAGGCCCAGGGGCTCAGCCTCCCGAGTAGCTGGGACTACAGAGGCACGCCAACCCACCCAACAAATTCTTTGATTTTTTTGTAGAGATGAGGTCTCACTGTGTTGTCCAGGTTGGTCTCAAACTCCCTGGCTCAAGCAATCCTCCCAACTCGACCTCTCAAATTGCTGAGATTACAGGCATAAGCCACTGTGCCAGGCCATAAATATTTTAAATAGACAGAGAGAGAGAGAGGAAAAAAGAAACCTTCTCTCTACTCTTCCTCCCCTCCAAAGGGCGGTTGGGAATTCTGATCCTCACTCATGTCTTGCCTCAACCTTTTGTTTTTGAGTTGGAGTCTCCCTCCGTCGCCCAGACTGGAGTGCAGTGTCACGCTCACGGCCACCCCAGCATTGACCTGCTGGGCTCAGGCGATCCTTCCACCTCAGCCTTCCAAGTAGCTGGAACCACAGGCATGCACTACCACGCCCAGCTAAGCTTCTGATCTATTGTAGAGATGATGTCTCGTCAAGTTGCCCAGGCTGTTCTTGAACCCATGGGCTCGGGCAATCCCCTCACTTCGGCCTCCCAAAGTGCTGGGATGACAGGCTTGAGCCACCACGCTCAGCCTTGCCTCAGCCTTCTAATGCACAGCAGGGAGTTTCCAGAAGGACAGTAGACTGAACTCTGACACTCTATCAAGGACTCATACCCGGAACAATCCAATCAAACCATATGGAACGTGGAATGTACTCTTGGTGACCGCAGAGAGCTCATCAGAGTCAGGGCGTGAGAGCTTCGGTCTACTCCGATAAAGGCACCAATGAAGACACTCTGCAGATGACTTTCCTATCTAACCTGGGAGTGACAACTGCCAGCTGTCCTGTTTGGGAGTGAGACTCCGATCATTGGCTGACAGCCTTTACTATCAGTTGAACTTTGCTTCCACATGCAGGAAGTTTCTAATGAATCAAGGCTAATTTTTTGATTTATTGTAGAGATGAGGTCTCGCCAAGTTGCCCAGGCTAGTCTCGAGCCCACGGGCTCAGGCAATCCTCTCCCCTCAGCCCCCCAAAGTGCTGGGATTATAGACGTGAGCCACCATGCCCAGCCTAATTTTTCTTGATTTATTGTAGAGACAAGGTCTCACCAAATTGCCCAGGTTGGTCTCGAAACCCCGGGCTCAAGTCATCCTCTCGCCTCGGCCTCCCAAAGTGCTGGGATTACAGGCGTGAGCCATGGTGCCCAGGCTTGTATTTTGATATTTTAAAACAAACAAACATTTTTTTAAAGCCTCTGAATGCTCTCTGAGTACCTTGGATGTTGGTTGCCAGACGTGAACTGTTAAGGACGGGGTTCCTAGTCATCCCAGCCATGCATCATCCCTCCCCGGTCCCGGATCTTTCAGTGGTGGTCTGATGGATGTCCATGTTGGGAGGGAGGTAGGGGTGATGGGGGGAGATGCAGGGCTGACCTCCCCAGAGTCTCCAGATTCCATTGATCCCGCAGACTCACCTGACCAGCAACATAGATAGGGAGGAAGATCCAGGCCAACATCAGCACAGAGAACAAGCCCTGCCCGAGAAAACACAGTCAGGACTCGGCTCCCAGCACACATCAAGGTGCTGATTTGGATTTCCCTCTGCACCCTGAGGCGACTTGGCTTGAACTCCACCTCTGACATAGTCTCTTATGTGCTGAGAGGTTCACCTTCCCTGGCCTTCGTGTTTCCACTTTTTAAGTGGGGAGAAAGGGATTAGGTAGGGAAGACAAGAGTGGAAAGACGAGAGCCTCTTGCAATGCCTATGAGTTCTGTGTCTCCTAAACTTCACATCATCCTTTCTTTTTTTTTTTTTT